GTAGAACCTTCATCAGTGCAGCCATGTGGATGAGTCACGGCCATTAAATTATATAATATCCAGCTGTGGGTTCAGAAGCCCTGAAAAAATGATGCATAAATTTTGATCTGACAAAAACAAAATTTTGATAGGACAGTGGTAGTATGCTATCAAATCAATTTCATAAGTCTCTGTTACATGGCAAGGATCTTGTGTTTGAATTACTATAGTGCTTAAGAACAAGGGATTGAGACTGCCTGGCATATTGGGGTGAGGCTGCATTTTATTGTAGCTCTCAGCCTACTTCAACTCCTCCTCAGCTCACTATTATTTTCTATGTTCCAGTTTCCTTGTGCATAAAAATTGGAGTAATAGTAACTTAAAGGGTTGTGATTTGCTGTTTAGTTTCATGTTAAATATTTGCAAATATACTTGGTATGCTATATGAATAAATCATAGATATTATAGTTGCCACTTCAAAAATTATATACCTAAGTTGAAATAACTGCTTATAATTTCTTCCATTTCTAATTTTTTTAAACCATCACTTGAGTAATTAAGGTTTCTAAATAGCTATAATTAAGCCTACACCATGGTTGGTATATGTTAGAAATTTTATCTCAGGTATCTTAAATTATCTCAGTATTTTTGTAAACATCCCACTTTTATAGTTAAATGTTTTTAAATACAATGTAAAGCCAGGCATGGTGGCACACCCCTGTAATCTCAGCACTCAGCAAGCTGAGGCAGGTGGATCATCTGAGACCAGTTTAGGCTATAAAGTGAGCTCAAGGCCAGCCCTGAGCTGCATAACAAGACCCTATCTCAAAAAGACAAAAAAAAGAAAGAAAGAAAGAAAGAAAGAAAGAAAGAAAGAGAGAAAGAAGAAAGAAAGAGAGAAAGAAAAAGAAAAAAAGAAAAAGAAAAGTCTTGTTGTGCAGTTCAGGCTGGCCTTGAATTCCCGGCATAGTCATTTGGTCTTGAACTTGCAATGATCCTTTTGCCACAGCCTTGTGAGTGCTGGGACTACAGGAACCAATCACCATGCCTGTCAATTTAAAACACAAAAAAATGTTTGAGACAGGTTCTTGTTGTGTATCTCAAGATGGCCTTGAGTTTATTAACCCAGGCTGGCCTCGAACTTGGCAGTTATCCTTCTGCCTCAGCCTCCCAGCATACTGGGACCACAGGTGATGGCACATTTAGCTGACAGTCAGAATTTAAGTCAGTGTACATAAAATTTATGTTGGTTTTTTTTTTTTTTTCTTGGCAGAACCGGGGATTGAATTCAGGCCTTTATTCTACTGAGCTATCTCTCCTGCCCCCATAAAATTTATGTCATAGAAAAAGAAAATTTATGTTATACTCTTTGCCTTGCATTATTCCTCAGCCATTTGTAGTAGGTCACTGGGGCTTGCCTTCTTTTCAATGGGCATTTATGGACACTGGTATAATCTAGGTCCTGGGGAAACCAAGGGGAGCAGGACAGGCACAATTTGACCACATCCTACTGAAAGACAGATGACTTCTTCCATCCTTAATTTTTACACTGTGGTCCATGGGATCTAAATAGGCTTTTAGATAGGCACGTGACCTCTGAGCTTCATTCTCATGATATACACTTGCAAATAAATAATTTCAAATAAAATTCTCGTGTTTAGGTACCTATTTGAAAATAAAAGTCTCAATGATTATTTAGTAAAGAGAACAGATAGGAAAAATCTAACAAACACAATAAGTACTGCTCTAAGATACTCTCCTGATTTCACACATGTGTAATAAATGGAAGACAAAGGGTTTCAACTCAGATCACAAAATCACCAAACTAGCTGCCTTACTTTTCTCTCCTTGTTGATACAAAATACCCAACACCCAAAATGAAAGAAGGAAAAATTTATTTTGCTTAGTTTGCATAAGTTTCAGACCATAATCAAGGCAGGGTGGCATGGCAGAGGGGCAAGCAGTTCAAGGAGGCAGAAGACAGCAAAAGCAACAAGAGCAAAAGGAGAAGGGGAGCAAGCCTGTTTTCCTCCCTAATATTTTATCCAGGCCACTCCCCTGACCCCCACTCCGGGTGGGTATTGTACTGTACCATCTCTTCCACAGAATGAGGATGTTTACAAAAGAGGGGCCTGGCCCCCTGCTGAGTCGCTTGGTTAAAACTTCTAAAGTTGACACAATGTATCAAACCTTATAATTAAAAAAAAAAAAACTTATAATACCCTACTTCTGTTGTGGGAAATACATTTAATTCTTTTTCTCATTTTGAAGCCTTGGACATCACCGATCCACAAACACTGAGCATCTTTAAATTATGAAATGCCGTGTACAAAGTGGCAGGAAATAGCGTATATTAGTGGTTCCGTTGTAAAGATTTCCTTTTTCGGTGCTGGAGATTAACTCTCAGCTTCATGCATACCAAGGACAGGGCATAGTCTACCACCAAGCTATGGCACCAGACCTTTAGACAACATTTGTTTTAACTTTAATACAATATACTCTGAAATAAATATAAAGTGACCAAACAATGACATACATTTTTTTTTTCTTCAGGTAGGGTCTTGTCACATAGTTCAGGCAGCCCTGAACTTACTATGTAGCTCAGACTGCCTTCCAATATTCTACAGATATTCTCGCCCAACCTCCCAAGTGTTGGTTTTACAGGCGTGCATCACCACGGCTGGTTTGCAAGTTACCTTGTAATGATGATCAGTTACCTTATCTGATTCCATCTGAAGAAGCGATATATATATATATATATATATATATATAATTTTTTTTTAAACAGAGAAGTGAAGGTAGATCTATGGCAGTGAGCAAACTAAAAAATGACTCAGCTGGGAAAGGGCACATCAAGGATTCAAAAAAGACTAATACTGCGTATTGTACAGCAAACACAGAAAGCCCAGCTCCCTTTCTAGGCAAGTAACCGACCCCATTTGGGAGAGAAGATAACGTTGGGGACTAAGGCATAGACTTCATTCTCTAGACCTTGGGAAATCATAAAAGGTTACGGTTAAGGCAGAAATTATGGTATCTAAAACTGCTAAGAGAATTTGCACCTTGTAGAAAAAAGTGGCTTCATCACTTCGTTAGTGACCCCGGACAAATTAGTCTCAACGGAGGGGAAAATGCAGAGGTAATTCCATATGGGACTACTGGAGATTAAAAGGTCGTGTATGACAAGTGTCTACCACTAGAGAGTGACCAAAAAATGTCGATTTTCCTTAGTAAGGAAAAAGGATGTAACCCCCTTCTCCCTCCCGTATCTATACTAAGCAGGCACGCAGTGAAGGCGAAAGACCCTGCCAAGTTCAGCAGCAACCACACCTGACTACAGATTTTGTCTAGCATTCCACCAGTGTTTGCAAGGTTATGCTCACACTCCCCTCGCTCCTCCCCATGCCCCCTACTGAAGCCTACCACTCCTAACCAGCCCGCAGCAGCATCTTCCAACCTTGCCTTCTTCCTCCCCCTCCCGCGCTGCAGCGGCGACGAACCCATTACGTCACATCCGCTTCCGTTTCTGATGGGCCCCTCTTCCCCGGCTCCAGGACCACTCTAGGCTGCCGCCTAGCCAAGCCGCCCCAAAGCTCTGTGGTTACTGGGCGGGGCAGTGACGTCCTTGGCGTGGCTGCAGGGGAGGCCGCGGCCGGGAAAATGGCGGACCGAAAGGCGGGAGAGGAGAAGCCTGAGAAGTCGAAGCGAGCTGGAGCCGCCGGAGGTGAACACAACCCCAGCGTCGCGGGCAGCGTGGGATACTCCGGGCCTTTCTTTGAGCTCCCCGGGGTGGGGGGAGTGGAATAGAGCGAGAATGGGCCGATCTGGCGTTCACTCAGCTAGGTGCTGGGCCCAGACGAGCGCGGGGCACGCCCGGTGCGGCCCGCTGGCCTTCAGGCCCACGTAGCCTTCTTGCCTCAGGAGGGTCGGCCACTGTTCGTCACCTCCTGGCTCCTGGGAGCTCTCCTATTGAGAAGGGAGATGGGCGCCGGAAAGGGAGCCCGAACTTGAGGCGGGACGGGGAGCAGCGGTGCAGGGACCGCTCTCCACACGGGAGGCGCACATCATACAAAACACACAGGGACGCTCGCACACCGCACGCACGCACGCACGCACGCAGGCCGGCCGCGCAGAGTGGCTCCAAGAACCGGCCCCTGGCCGAGTTTCCGCAGGTCTGGCCTCTCAGTTACACGTAGGAGTTCGCTCCGCCCGCCGCTGCCCTCGCACAAATGTCTGCACCCGCCTGCTCTTTATTTCTAGCGAGCTGCAGACCCTGTAACAGGCCGGGCAGCATGAAGGAGCAAGAGGTGTGAGCTGCAGGCCTAATGACAGGGTTTAGTTGTCTTTCTTTGAAGCAGTCTCCCTTTCCCTGGATTGTTAATAGTTTACCGCACGTCAAGATACTTAAGTGGCTTAAGTGGTGTCTCTTGTGTTTATTGAGGTATGAAACTGAGGTTACAGCTGTTCCTGTTTTTTTTCTGTCCCCTCTACCCCTGTAAACTTGTACCAGAAGTTTGAAAAGAAACGTGTTAACACCCCCACACAAACAGAATTAGTGACAGAACTAGCTCATCATAACGTCTTCAGAATGTGTTAAATGATACTCTCTATTCTGACTCCCTTAAGTGTTATCCATGAAAGTAAATATATGAAAGTATATAAAATTAGTAGCACATGAAGGCAAAGAGTAGAACCTGCAACATATTTAATGTGAATTGTCCTGGCAGCAAAAGTAATTAATTGAAAAGACCCTCAGGGCCAGTTCATGCGAGGGAAGTTCACAACCACTGGAGCTACCAGCCCAGTACCCCGAAAAGGCAATCCACGCGACACTTTAAGCCCTGTGAGGCTAGGAAATGAAAATTTGTAGTGTACTACCTTCCTTGACTACTCCCTCCATCACTTTACAGTTGCTTTAAAAAACAGTTTGAGAGTCATAAAAGGTTTAACAGTTTACTGTCTAGAAATAAACTGCTAGTTCTGGAAATACAATAGTATTATATTTCTGCTAGTCCTGTATAGAAATAATGAACTCAGTACAGGCTGGGGGTGAAGTTTAGTGGTAGAATGTTTTTCCTGTATGTGTGAGACTCTAGATTTGATCCCTAGCACTGCAACAACAAAACAGTTAGATGTGTGTAATCTCAGCACTCCAAAGGGAGGCTGAGTCAGGAGGCTTGCCATCAGTGTGAGGCCAGTCAGAACTACATAGTGAAACCTCATCCCTCCCTGCTCTCATCCCCGCAGAAAGGTAATGTTTACCTTTTGTGTGGGTTTGTAACATGGGTGATCTAGTTTGCCTCTTCATGAGACAAAAACAGATATGAATGGAGTTGAGTTGCTGACATTTGATTAATGATAGTTGATTATTTAGTAGATAGGGTAGTTCTCCCATACTACCTTTTCCTGGAGCAGTCTCCATGGAAATCTCTATGCCATAATGTAATAATATTATATTTCATTTATTAGCAAATTCAGCTAGTTGTTACATTTAATGTTGCTAATGTTGTAGTAAGAATTTTTTCCCTTTTCCTCATTTATGTTCTAATTTTTCCAAATTGTCTGTTCCATTGCCTGGCAAGTGCAAGAGTTCAATCCCTGGTTTGGCTTAAAAAAAAAAAAACCCAAAATTGTCTGTTCCAGAATTATTTTCTGAGTAAAGTGAGACCCAGAAGAAAACATATGCTTTAAGGGTACCAGAAATCTTAATGATAGTCCCTGTGTAATGGTTCAGGACAGAGTTATACTATGGTCAAGTCTAAGGATTCTTTATCGTAATTAAAAAAAATTTTGTTTGTGTTTGAACAAAACTTGTACCGTTAGTATATAGATTGTTTCTGTATGCTTTAGGATATATGATCGATTTTCAGTTTTAGAAATGTGATCACAAAAAAAAGTTGTTTGGGTTTTACTAAGAAACATACTTAGTTAAAACTAAATTTTGGGATGAAGTGCTTTTAGTTATGGACTTAGATTTTTAAAAATTAATGCTTGGCATCTTATTTTTTTTTTTAAGGGGGTTATTTCTGTATAACCTCTTTATTTACTTATTTACTTATTTTTAGTGTTTCGAGACTGTTGTAGCTACAGTCATTATACAGCCCTGTACTGGCCACAAACTCTGCCTCAGGCTTTAGAGTACTGGGTTTGTATGTGCCACTGTGTCTGGCTGTATAACCTCCTTTGCTTGCCAGTCTTATTTGTGTTAAGATTTTTCTTCTCATTCTGACTTTTGTCATGTTTTACCACTTTTGTCAGTCATCCCTTAAAACCTATTTCCGTAAATAAGTCCCTCATCCACTGTAACATAATACATTCAGTACAGTAAATTAGCACACAGATAAAAAATTAAATCTTAATAATCTACTCTTGTCTTGCCTCTTTGTATCAGAGCTGATATACTTGAGATGCAGTCTCAATCATTGACAATGCAAATAGAAACAATTATTGAAAGACATCTTGCTTTCCAGACCAACACATACACTTTCTACTGTTGAGGTTATAATTAGCTCTTCACTCTTTCATGAGAAATTAATATGTAAATCAAAGTATAACTTTAAATGGCTATTTTTGGGGGGTACTGGGGATTGAACCTAGGATCTTGCGCTTGCCAGGCAGACACGTATGCCACTGAGCTATCTTCCCAGTCCTTAAATTGCTTTTGTAGGTAGTTTAAAACAAATGGTATGAGAATGTAGACTGGTACAACCATTATGGAAATCAGTGTGGAGATTTTTCAAAAAACTAGGACTGGAAATCCCATTCAAACCAGCTCTCCCCCTACTGGAAATTTTCCCAGAGGAGCTGAAAACATTATATTATAGTGACATATGTGCATCTATATTTACCACAGCAGAATTTGTGATAGCTAAATCTTGGAAACAACCAAGATGGCCATCGGCTGAATAATGATTAAAAAATATGTTATTTTTAATCCAAGTCTTTATCCAAAGATAAAAGTTCTTACTGGGCATGGCTGTGTTCTGCTATAATCGCAGAACTTGGGAGAATGAGGCAACAAGTTTGTCACAAATTCAAGGTTAGTTTGCACTGAATATTCAGGTTCTGTCTCAAAAAGAAAGGAAAAAAATCATCCAAAGATGTGGATAACTTATTGCACGCGGGAAAAAGTCATTTGAATAACTTTGAATTTTTCATCAGAAATAATGTCAGAAGGGGCCAGGGAGATGGCTCAGTAGGATAAGTGCTTGCCTGGCAAGCACAGGGGCCTGAGTTCAATCCCTGGCTCCACCAAAAAAAAAAAAAAAAGAAATAATGTCAGAAGCAGTGGAAATATGAAGTTGTTTTAGAAAATAAAAAACCCTATAAACTTAAAAAAAATAAAATAAAATAAAACAAATGGTAACCAAACTTTAAAGTAGAATGAGATTACACTAGGAGACAATCCTAAAGTAGTCCTTCTTGAAGTTTTTTTTGCAGCTGTTAAGATTTTGTTACAGGAGCCGGGGAGATAGTTCAGTAGAATAAGCGCTTGCCTGGAAAGCTCAAGGGCCTGAGTTCAATCCCCAGTTCTGCCAAAAAAAAAAAAAAAAAAAGATTTTGTTATATAAGGAACACAATCACATAACTTCTAGGCTGTGTTAACACTGTGGTTTGGGTAATAGTACTTTTGTTCATAGATAGGTAGTTTGTATTATTAGTATTATTGAGAATATTAGAATCTATAAGCCAGATGTACTGTGTGATTACTCATAAACTAGTTTGTGTAAAAAAAAAATTTACTGGTCTTAAAACAACAAAATTTTGCGAATAACCAGATTATTGTACAATTTATATGGTAGTATTTAGTTGAAGGGTCTTTACTTTTTGTGAACTCTGTTTATAATTTTAAATTGCTCTGTATTTTATGCTAGTTAATTCATGGGAGCCTCTTCTACTGCCACACAATCTCAGTTCCTGCTATATACTCTAACAGTGGAAGAGACTGTTGGGTCAGTAGGTGACAACTGCAGAGGTATCTTCCTTATAACGATGCTTTTTGAGGTTGCTGCTCCCATCAATCTGCTCAGTAAAAATAGCTCATCTTGGTAAGTTGTTTCGACTTCACCAGGACCTGAAGAAGAAGCAGAAAAACCTGTGAAAACTAAGACTGTTTCTTCCAGTAATGGAGGGGAAAGTTCCAGTCGCAGCGCTGAGAAGCGATCAGCTGAAGAAGAAGCTGCAGACCTCCCAACAAAGCCTACAAAGATCTCCAAGTTTGGATTTGCCATAGGTAGTCAGACAACAAAGAAAGCATCAGCTATATCCATCAAACTTGGATCAAGTGTGAGTGGTTATTTTATATATTATGTTTTTCAGAGTCTTAAGGATTTGTTTGAAAACCTGCTTTTACTAGGTTATGATAAATTAGGTATTAAAAGTTATATTGATTGCTTAATCTTGATATATATTTTAAGAAGGAATGGAAGCCTTGTGTAGGAAAATCTGGGTGCATTAATGTCTCAAATGGTTTTAAAAAGTACGTTTAGAGTTCATATGCGAATCCCAGCTGTCCAGAGGCTAAGGCAGGAGGATTGCTGAGAGTTCGAAGCCAGACTGGGCTACAAAGTGAATTCCAAGCCAGCCTGAACTCTGTAACAAGACCCTGTCTTCAAACATATACACATGTAATACTAGAAGGAACCACTGTTATAGAAAGTCTGTAACTTAAAAAGTAATAAAACCTTTTTGAGTTAAAACCTCTGAAAAATATTTTCAGGAAGAATTTTACTTTTTTTTTTTTTTTTTCAGTTTCAATATATTAAAAATATTTCCATGAGCTGAGGAACAGCTCAGTGGTAGAGCATGTGCTTAGGGTTAAGTCCGTAGCACCACGCATGCACAGAATAATAATACGTTCAGAAATCACTCGTGTGGGCTGGGGAGATGGCTCAGTAGAATAAGCGCTTGCCAGGGCCTGAGTTCAATCACCGGTTCTGCCAAACAAAAAAGAAATCACTTATATGTATCTTAAAAGATTAATAGCCAGGCCTGGTGTGACACACCTATAACCTCTGCACTCAAGCAGTAGAAGGATTGCCTCAAGTTTGAGACTAGCCTGAACTGCATAGTGAGATCCTGTCTCCAAAAAAAAAATAATAATAATAATAACAACAGTAAGTAAGGTATGGCATGTTAAGAGCTTCTGATTATTTTTAGAACTACAATTGAACATTGTATATTGTACCTTATGACAGTAATGCTTTGAAGATTATTTCTTCTCTTCTAAGATGTAAACTTTGAATTAATACATACTACCTTTGAACCTTTAGAATTATTTTATAGTAAATTAAACTTGTGAGTGCTTTGTTTCTAGCTTACAATATGACAATTTAATGTAGTTCAAACAAATCTTTTGTTTAAGTAATGTATGCCATAGGCTTTAGAGAAGCTTTATATTTTTGTGAATGAAATTGCTTTGAATTGCTTATCCTTGTCTTGTGAAAGTTAATGCATCGTTTTCACATGCAGACACCTTTATTTCGCCATAAATCTAAATTCAGATACCTTATGCTTTTTTTTTTTTTTTTTTGAGACAGGGTCTCTGTAGTTCAGGCTGGCCTTGACTCAGTGATCGTAATGCATCAGCCGTCTTATTGCTGAGATTTCAGGCAGACACCACCATGTCCAGCCATTCAGATACTTTTAAAAATATGATCTAGTTCCGTTTCCTGCAAGCATCAGCTTGAGTTAACCTTTTTTTTTTTTTAAATCATTTACTTTTTTTTTTTTTCATTAGTACATCTTTTTGTCACCTTTGTTTTCACACTCATACAGTCTAACAAATTTGGGCACAGGTGCCTTGAGATTTCTTGGATTAATTTGCAAGCAGAGGATTTAGTTATGATATCACTAACCTCAACATCCTACAGCCTAAACTTCCCCTTTCATATTTATCCCTGTGTTGTTATTATTTTGCCTTTCTTATTACCATATGACTTGTCTTTTCAGCTTTCTTCTCCAAACAGAATAAACTTTAGTTTACAGTTTTGATATCTCTTAAAGCACAAATTCTTCTTTGGATAACAATAGATTTCATGACTATTTCCCTTTAAAATGTGAAATTTAGTAACCTATCAGCTGGTTGTATCAAAGAATCTTCAAAGGCTGAGCCCAAAATAACTCCAAACAAGTTCACCAGATTTCATACTGCAAACTAAATCTGGCCTGCAAATATTTTGTTTGGCTGGCCCAGTGACATTTGTTTTATTTTGTCTTGGTTTGGTTTGGTTTTTACTTGGCAATTGAATTTGAAGGACTTTTGGCAGAAGATGCATTTTCAAGTCCCACAGTCACACTCTTCCTTGTGGTCTCATAGCCTCGTGAGATTCAAATATTAAATCATTTGCTTATTTGATGCAGGGTCTTGCTATGCAGCTCAGCCTCCTCTGTGCTGGAATTATGGGTATGCACCACCATGCCCGGTTTTGGCCAGCATAGGGATAGGACTAGTACTCCATTTGATACCAGGGATCGAACCCAAGTCCTGCACTTGCAGACTGCAGAGCTATCTCCTCAGTCCCTTGAGTTATCTTTTGAGTTCTCTTTTGCTTTGTGTTTGCAGTGCTAGAGACACAACCTAGGGCCTTGCACATACTAAGCAAGAACTATCACTGAGCAAAATCCCCAGCTGTCTTATTCTTGCTTAAAAGATATGATTACACAGGAAACCCACTTCCCATGCCATACTGTTTTTCCTTTTTCCTTTTTTTTTTTTTTTTGGGGGAAACCGGGGATTGAACTCGGGCCCTTGCACTTGCCAGGGAAGCACTTATTCCACTGAGCCATCTCCCCGGCCCCTTGCCCTTTCTTTCTCTAAAAAAAAAAAAAAAAATTTAGTCTTACTGAAAGCATTCATCTGGTATATGTGTTGCCAAAATGAGCGTGATCCTCAGCTTGGAATAGTGGTATTTTATTAGTACTTTTTCTATTTCAGTTGACTCTTTTTGTGTTCTACTTTTTCAAAAGTTGCATAGACCTATTTTTGATAGTATATTAAACATGTGTTCTTGTATATAATTCTAATAGAGGTGGTCTCCTTGATAATATATTTTGCTGTGCTTGGACATACTCCCTAAATCCAGATCCCTGCATTTTCTAAATCATTGATGTGATTTAGTAATTTTTGATCATTTTAAATTGAAAGATTATTTTTATTTATTTATTTATTTTACATTTATTTAGTGTGTGTGTGGCCAGCTCAGCCCACCAGGGGGTGGGGCTGGCTGGCATGTGGTGCTAGGGGATTGAACCGTGGTCCCTGTGCTTTGCCAAGCTTGTTCCAAGTAGGTGCTTTAGACTACTGAGCCATCTCTCCAGCCCCGGAAAGATTATTTTTGAAAAGCGAGTAAAATCTTTAAGTTTGAGAAACAAAAGCTTTTTTTTTTTTTTTTGGTGGAACCAGGGATTGAACTCAGGCCCTTGCACTTTCCAGGGAAGTGCTTATTCCACTGAGCCATCTCCCTGGCCCCTAAAAGCTTATTTTTATAAAATAAACCATGATTATTTTTAGGAAATAAGGCATAGTATATTTTCTAACAAATAGTTGTACAATGCTGGGGAGATAGCTCAGCAGTCAAAGCCCCTGCCTGGCAAGCTCAAGGACCTGGATTTGTGTGTGTGTGTGTGTGTGTGTGTGTGTGTGGTACTGGGTATTGAACTCAGGACCCCATGTTTGCCAGGCAAGCACTTATTCTACTGCGCTATCTCCCCAGTCAAGGACCAGGATTTCATTCCCAGTACTACATGTGGTGCTGGCCCCACTCCAGGCATGCTGAGCCAGCCATCGAAACCAGCCATAGTGGCACATGCCTGTAATCCCAGCACTGGGAAGACTGAAACAGGTTCGCTATGAGTCCAAGCTGCGTAGTGAGACCCTAAACAAAATATGTTTTGAAAAAAAAAAGTTGTATGGCATTTAGTTGCAGGGGCCCATACCTGTAATCCCAGTGGCTTGGGAACCTGAGACAGGAGGATTTTGAAAGTTTGAGGATAGTCCGGGCAATTTAGCAAGACCACGCCTCTAATTTTTTTTTTTTTTTTTTTTTTTTTTTGCGGAACCAGGGATTGAACTCAGACCCTTGCGCTTGCCAGGAAAGCACTTATTCCACTGAGCTATCTCCCCAGCCCCCATGCCTGTAAAAAGGGCTGGGGACTACTATGGCTTTCCTCACCATCTTGCTTTCTTCAGGGTGTGCTTTTATCCTGGTTTTTCTTTTTCATTTGTCCCAAGCTTGCTCTGCAGAGCCAGTTTCTCCTTCACTCTTCATTTTACTTTTGCAAATACTTTGCAAAAAAATAAATTAAATGAAGTTAGAGGTGTAGTTTAGTACAAATATACCAGGTCAATCCCTGGTACTGCAAACAGAAGTGAAACTCTTGCTTTGATTATATGATAGGAAAAATGGTTGATCAGTCAGTACGTACTTGTGTCCTCTATAACGCTAAATACTTGGCATCTTCAAAAGAATAAAGAGTATTTGTAGAGTCACTGTGCATATTGTCTAATGTTTTTTATTCCTGCAAAAGCAATTGGTGGTTCACACTAGTTATCCCAGCACTTGGGAGGCAGAGGCAGTAGGATGGGTTATAAAGTGAGCTGAAGGCCAGCCTGAACTGCATAGTGAGACCGTCTCAAAAAAGACAAAAAAAATGGGCTGGTGAGATAGCTCAGCAGACTAATGCACCTGCTTAGGCAAGTGCAGGGACCGATATTTGATTGCTGGCAGCACTTGCCACACCAGGCTGGGTCCACAGAGTCCAGGCATAGTAGCCCATGCCTGTAATCCCAGCACTGGGGAGGCTAAAAGCAAGAGGATCACCATGAGTTCAAGTTGTGTAGTGAGACCCTGCAACTGCCAAATACATTAAAAAAGCGAAACCAAAAACGTGTGTATGTGGCACAGAAGGAAGAATGGCTCACCTAGTTTCAGCATGTCAGAAAATTTTACTGATGATGTATATGAGTTGGACTTAAATTCAGATTTGTTAATTAAAACTATAGAAATGAATAGCATTGACTAAAAAAGGAAATGAAGGGTCACTAACAGTAGAATCCTAAATATATGTATGTTGAATGTAAGGAACAACAGAGAAGAGAAACAAAAGCATAAATTCCAAGAATTAACAATAATAAAAAGCAATGTCCCAGAAATGAAAGGAGTGTTTCAAAAAGCAGCTAGTAAGTCGAGTAGGTGGTACACACATGTTATCCCAGCTGGGGGGAGGCTGAGACAGGACAAGTTTAAGGCCAGCTGGGTGACTTAGTAAAATCCTGTATCAAAATAAAATGGGGGGGGGGGGCTGGTGAGATGGCTCAGTGGTCTAAAGTACCTACTTAGAACAAGCTAAGCTAAGCAAAGCACAGGGACCACAGTTCAATCCCCAGCACCACATGCCAGCCCGCCCTGCCCCCTGGTGGGCTGAGCTGGCCACACATACAAAATAAATAAATAATAAATAAAATAAAATAAAATGGGGGGGGGCGCCTGGGAGATAGCTCAGTAGAATAAGCACTAGCCTGGCAAGCGCAAGGGCCTGAGTTCAATCCCTGGTTCCACCGAAGAATAAAATGGGCTGGGAATATGTAGCTCATTAGTACTTTGCTAGCATGAACAAGGTCTTGCATACAGTGCTCAGTAAGCAAAAAAGCTGGTGATTGGAATCAGATGTGGAGTATAAGGTTACTAGTAACCTACAGAGTAATTTCTGGAAAATGGTGAGGTTGGGAGCCAGATTACAGTAGAGGAAGACAATGATGGTGAGAGGATTGAGATAGCAAGGAATGGTTGAAGTAAACTGGTTACGTAGAGAGGGTGGTGAGGATGAATGTATATAGGGAGAAGGTTAGCAAGCTAGAGCCAGGTGTGGTAGTACACGCCTGTAATCCCAACACTTGGAAGGCTGAGACAGCAGCACCATGCCAGCCTGTGCTGCCCAGTCAATTCAAGGCCATCCTGAACTGACCTAGTAAGACCCTGTTTCAAAATCAATGGTAAATAGCTAATTAGTAGAAAAAGACGAGTCATGGTGCTTTGTATGTTCTTGAGGCACTTCGTACTAATTTTAATGGTAAAAATTATGGGAAAATACTACTAATCATTTTATCTGTACCAAGTGCCACTTAGGTTAAATAATCTAATAGATCCTAGAGAACTTTTTTTTTGAAGAGATACTAACAAATTAATACTGTGAAAATTCTATCCATTGATAACCCAGATTTTCAGAGATAATGGATTTGTCTAAAATATTGAGTGCCTTACGTTAAAACATAAGGTTAAATATTTCAAGACATTATTCATATTATTAAATGTTACTTACATAGTGTTCTTTTTTAATGTTTCTTCTTCAGAAGCCTAAAGAAACTGTTCCAACTCTTGCTCCCAAAACCCTTTCAGTAGCAGCAGCTTTTAATGAAGATGAAGACGTAAGTTAATACTAGTGTTGTTTTACTTCAATTCATTAAGGAAAATATTAATGGCAAATTGTGGATTGAGCTAATACTACATTTCCTTTAAATAATGTTTTATGACACCTACAAAAATAGTGTTTATGTTTTTATATTTTATTTGGTAGGACTATGTTAAAGTATTGGTGACTTAAGTGTAAAGAACTTTAATCACATTAGCAAATATTTATTAAGAATAATAGTGTGTGGAAGTATGTGGGACCCCAAAAAAGGAAAAATGTACTTTTTTCCTTAGGTTTAAAGTACAGAGACAGGGCGTGGTGACACAACACCTGTAATCGCAGCTCTTGGGAGGCTGAACACAGGTGGATCACTGCAAGTCTGATCTATGTAGTGAGACCCTATATACCCTATACTTAGAAAATAAAAAAAATACAGTACATCCTTACATTTGAGGGTCTTCAGGGTGATAACATTGTTCTTGCAAATTACCAAGGGCAGCTGTAATTCTTGCTTCCGTATGTGAGAATTATTGATTCTGCCCAAACTTCATAGATCCAGAGAGAGCTTAAAGTGCTTATTGGCTGCCTGGTTAGTGCAAGCTCCTGAATTCAATTCCTGATAACCAAACAAACAAACAAACAAAAAAAGATGCTTATTGAGGCCAGAAGTGATAGTAAATGCCTGTAATCCCAGCACTCAGGAGGCTGAGGCAAGAGGTTTGCCATGAGTTTGAGATCAGCCTGGCTTTAGAAACTAGCCCCTATTTAAGATGTGACCCTCTTATGTAATAATTGTTACAGGGTATGTAACAACCAAAAAAACCAAAAGCTATATGGATAAGAATTACATGAATCACCAGCTCTAGGGGGAAAAAAGCCAAAGAAGATACAATTTGTCTTGCTAGGTATGGTAGCACATGCCTGTAATCCCAGTACTCTGGGATTGCTGGGGATATATAGCTCAGTGTTAACTCTGGCTTCATTCCTCACCGTCATAGTCACACACACACACAAAAATGAGCATATATGCTGGGAATGGGGTGATTAAAAGGAGAAATAACACAAATTGGCTACTGAAACATTAGGCAGAAGTTTAGTAAACCAAGATTTTTCCTTTGATTTTGCTCATTCTATACATTTGAGTGTTTTCTGTATACTAGGCACAGTGCTTATAAAATAAACTGGACATGTTCCTCTAGGAATGGCCTAATAGGACAGAAACTTAAAGGTAAGATAATAATTTTTTTTTCTTTTTTCTTTTTTTTTTTTTTTTTTTTTTTGCCAGCTCAGCCTGCCCTGAGTGCGGGACTGGTGCGGCACATGGTGCAGGTATTGAACTGCAGTCCCCTGTGCATGCCTAAGCTTGCCTAAGCAGGCACTTTAGACTGCTAAGCTATCTTGCTGGCTCCTAAAATATTTTTTAAAAATCAGAAATACCTGGAGAAGTAAAATACTGAAGACATTCAGAAAAAAAGAATAGATGCCAGGTTCTGGGTGTAGCCATAGAGCAAGAGCACTTGACCTTTAGTTGAAAGACCTAGATTCTTAGTTTTGTGCTGCTGTTTGTAGTACATAGACTGAACTCAGGGCTTTCACACTGAGCTACATCCTCAACTTTTTATTTTTTGAAGCAAGGTCCTCCCTCTTCAACCTCTCAAGTAGCTGGAATTATAGACATGTGCCACCATGCTTAGGAGTATTTTCATACTAAATAGTGTATTTAGGGGCCGGGGAGATGGCTCAGTGGAATAAGCGCTTCCTTGGCAAGCGCAAGGGTCTGAGTTCAGTCCCTGGTTCAGCAAAATAAATAAATAGTGTATTTGGCTTGTCTGGTGATTTTTAGAGTTGGTATTTTGTTTTGGTGTTTTTGTTTTTCTTAGTACTAGGGATTATGAACATGCTAGGCAAATGTTCTACCACTGAGCTACATTTGTTTGGTTGTTAATAACCAGAAACTTGAAAGTAAATCACTACATTTTTGGAGCCTTTTTCAACTGTTTAAGGGGTGCGGTAGGATGGCTTTATTTATTTATTGCTACTAGGGATTGGACCAAGGGCCTCATACTTGGATGGTAAGTATGTGTTCTGCCACCCTCCCAGTCAAGGTGGTTCTTTTTTGTTTTCATTTTTTTCCCATTACAGTGTCTTGCTATGTTGCCTAGGCTGATTGGTTGGTTTGAGAACAGAATGGATATCACTTGAGCCCAGGGTAGCTTTGAACTTGCGGAGATCCTACTGCCTTGGCTTCTTTTGTGCTGGTGTTAATAGGGAATATGTCTCCTTACTCAGTTCCAAGCTGATTGAACTCCTTTTTATCTTAGCTTTTTTTATTGTTTTTTTAATCGTATTTATTTATTTGGCACAGAATTTTGCTATGCAGCTTGGACTTGTAAAGATACTCCTATCTCAGCCTCTCCAGTGCTGAGATTACAGGTGTGCACCACCACTCCCAGTTTTGGTGGCTGGCTCAGCACTTCAAGGGCCAGCACATGTGGTACCTGGGACTGAACTCCAGTCCTTGTGCTTGCCAGTCAGGCGGGTGAACTACCAAGCTATCTCTCCAACCCTGTTTTAGCTTCTTGAATGTTGGATTCCAGCTATGTGCCACCAGGCCCTTCAGGTTCAATTTAGATAATAGATTTTTAGGGGCTCGGGAGATGGCTCAGTAGAATAAGCACTTTCCTGGCAAGCACAAGGGCCTGAGTTCAATCCCTGGTTCCGCCAAAAAATAAATAAATAAATAAATTTTTTAAAAATCTGTTCACTTCTTATATTCTTTAGAAGTACTTAGGAACTATTAGGAAGTGATACTTTTTTTTAGTACCAGGGATTAAATGTGGACCTTTGCTTAAGCTGCTGAGCTATATTGATACTTAATCAGTACTTTTGGCCTTGCCCCTGGGGCGCACTGAGATGGCAGTTGAGACTGGGTGGTGGTGCATGCCTATAATCCCAGTTCTTAGAAGGCTGTAAAAAAAAATATATCGGTACTCTGGTATAGAGCCTTTGTTTCATGATATAGCCATGCTCAGGGTGTCACATGTACTAATACAATAATCAGGCACTGAAATACATAGCCCTATAATTTTTGACTTTTGTTTTTCTTTTTCAAACTTTGTTAGTACATTTGCAACACACAATTGCATTTATCTTAAAAATATTAACATTTTAAAATATCTTTTTCAATTACTGTATCTTGGGGCCGGGGAGATAGCTCAGTAGAATAAGTGCTTGGGTCCTGAATTCAATCCCCAGTACCACAAAAAAAAAAAAAAAAAAAAAGGAAAAAAAAAAAAATAATTTTTTTTTTTTTTTTTATTTTTTTTTTTTTTTTTTCTTTTTTTGTGGTACCAGGGATTGAACTCAGGACCCAAGTGCTTATTCTACTGAGCTATCTCCCTGGCCCGCTTTAGTCTTAATTTGGACAATTCCTGAATTTTTCTATGTATTGCAAGGCACTTAACATTTTTGAAGAATACAGACCAGTTATTTTGTACTGTGTCCTTCAGCTTTCATCTCTCTGCTATCACCTCATGGTCTTATCCCTTTCTTCTGGCAGGAATTCCACAGAACTGATGGTAGGTTCTCAGTCTATCACCCAGGGAAGCACTTACTGTGCGTGTTCTCAATTCTTGGCTGTGTTAGCTTTGATCATTTAGTAAAAATGCTGCCTCCCATTTCACCTCACTATGATGTTACTGTTTTAGCTTTTGCATCAAAATGTAGCTTTTGGGGTATGTTTTGAAAATATATGATTTTTTTCAAATATTCACTCACTGGTGTTAACATCCATGGATGATTCTTGCTTGGATCAGTTATGAAAATATTTGCAAATAGTGATTTTTGTGATACCATATTTCCTTCAACATTTATTAACTCTTATGTACTGAAGAACTTTTTCATCATTTGTAAAGTTTATTTACGTATAAACTCCTGGATTCTTTTCTTTATTCAGTAGGCTATAATGCTTAAATTGCCAAGATTTTACAAGTAGAAGCTCTGTTAAAATGGATCTTTTAAAACAATATTTAGGGGCTGGTGAGATGGCTCAGTGGTCTAAAGCACCTACTTAGAACAAGCTTAGCAGAGCACAGGGACCACGGTTCAATCCCCCAGCACCACATGCCAGCCCCGCCCCTTGGTGGGCTGAGCTGGCCACACACACACACACACACACACACATAAATAAATGAATAAATTTTTTAAAAAACCAATATTTAGCTAGGGAGTAACATTTATTCAGAAGGATATATATCTGAAAGGGACTTGTCCCACAATTTTTCATAGCTGTTAAGATAGAAAAGTAGGGGGTTGAGGGATTAGCTGAGAGATAGAGCAATTGCCTAGCAAGTACAAGCACCTGATTTTGATCTCCAGCACTGGGGGGGGGGGGGGAGATGGACAAGTACTAAGAAATAAGCTTTCCAAATGTCTTTATAGTAAAAGGTACTTTTGAGGGGCAGGGAAGTAGCTCAAAGGTCCTGAGTTCAATCCCTGGTACCCCCCCCCCCAAAAAAAAAGATACTTTTGAGAAGGAGCAATGCAATGAGGTGATTAAGAGCCTTTATTTTAATCTCTTTTTACTGTTCTTTAGCGTGTGTGCGTGTGTGTGTGTGTGTGTGTGTGTGTGTGTGTGTGTAGTTAATATTGTTTAGCTTTTTTTTTTTTTTTTTGCAGTACCAGGAATTGAACTCAGGACCCTGCGCTTGACAGGCAAGCACTTATTGTACTGAGCTATCTCCCTGGGCCCTTCTTTAGCATTGTGACATTAAAAAGTTAAAAAAAGACAAGGAAAAAATTT